AATGAATATCAAAAGACTCATGAACAAAGTGTAAATCCATTAACAACGTTGGCCCATGAATACACAACACCAATAACGAAGTCTTCAACTCCACAAACGCCTACAACACCACCAACTACAATCCAAAATCAGGAAACAAAAGAAACTACTGCATCAGGTGAAATATCTGCTACAACAAGGGCATCCACAATAGCAGAAATGTCTACACTGGCTTCATCAATAGATAATCAAACACCACCAATTACTCGATTGGTATCTACATCAGGAACAAATATATCATCAACTACAACAGGTCGACCAATGACAATAGTAAATGAATATCAAAAGACTCATGAACAAAGTGTAAAACCATTAACAACGTTGGCCCATGAATACACAACACCAATAACTAATTATTCAACTCCACAAAGGCCTACAAGACCAGCAACTACAATCGAAAATCATGAAACAAAAGAAACTTCTACAACAGATGAAGTATCTGATACAACAAGGTCATCCACGATAGCAGAGATAACTACACTGGCTTCAACAATAGATAATCAAACACCATCAAGTACTCGATTGGTATCTACATCAGATATACCAGGAACAAATATATTACCAACTTCAAAAGGTCGACAAATGACAATAGTAGATGAATATCAAAGCACTCATGAACAAAGTGTAACACCATTAACAACATTAGCCCGTCAATACACGGCAGCAATAATTGAGTCTTCAACTTCATCAAGACTTACACCACCAGCAACTACAATAGAAAGTTTAAATTCATTAGCCACATTGGCCCATCCAGTATCTTCAACTCAATCCAGACGTACACAACCAGTAATTACAAAAGGACTGTCAGTATCAAAAACTCCTGCAACAACCAAAACAAGTATGTCAACTACAACTTTTGATCCATCAATGCTGCCCGCATCTGAGGGTAGTGATTTATTAAGTGAAACCTCATCATCAACATCAAATCGAACACCAAACCAATATGAATCACCAGGGGTCACTACTTCATGGCATCTAAGACCTAACACATCAACAACAACAACAACATACCATCCTGCAACAACTCGGGAAGCAGATCATTCAGAAGAAGCTACAAGTGTGAAATTTGCCAACAACAATAATATGTCGCCAACTATTTCATTATTATCAACTGCTACATCACATATAACATCAGAATCGTTAACCACATTGGTTCAACGACGTACAAAACCAATAACGACCAATTTAACTCAAAAACAATATGAAAGAGCAAGTGGTCATCTAGTAGAAACAACACAAATGCCTTCAAAAACGAAATATCAAACAACATTTCAGGCATCTAGACAGGCCTTTACAGAAGATACTCAATCATCAATTCCTGCATTGTATACAAGAAAGAAATCGCAAATATCTACACTGGCTTCAATAACAAAAGCTAATCGCCAATCAATTCCGCCATCATCAACTGCATCATCATCTACATCAGATCGACCAAGACCTAATATATCACTAACTGCAACAGATCAACCATCGACTGCAGCAGAGCAATATCAACACACACTGGCCCAGCGACAAACAAGTATACAGCCAATATCCACTAAGTTGGACACACTGTCATCAAATCTGGGCTCTACTTCAATACATTTTGGAGGGAATCGTTCGTCTCTGTTAGAAACAAAGCAGGCACAAGCTGCCAGTGACACAACGGGTACTATCAACAGCATATTCAGTACGATATAATTGGTAGAAAATTATTATATAATATTCGTATTAATGAATCATGAAGCGAAGTTGTATTGATACATTTGCGAATGTAGGCCTTTGTGAGTTTGAACTACAATGTTACATTGATTCTAGGCTAATCGCAAATTATTAGATTGTCTTCTATAAGTCAGTACAAATTTCACGTTATTGAAATAATGGCAATTTAAATGAAAACGTGGTGAATGCAATTCATTAATATAATCAATGACCTTCGGGTCAAAGATCATAGTGCAATTGTTCAGCGAGTATGTACAACTGATAAACTTTGTTTATTATGAATATAGTAAAAATTAAACACGCATTAGTCACAAGCTCTGACTAACTATTCACTTAGCTTATCTATTTATTCCCCACAGATAACAATATGATGTTTCCAATCTCCGTGGTTGTAGCTGCAGTGTTGTCTGGCGTTTCCATACTGGCTACTTTTACTTCACTTACACTATTGATCTTTATGATGTAAGTGTGTTTTATAAGTAGATGATATCGCATATGTGTCATCTGCAATTTATTAATTGAATGTAGTAATTACTTCACAGTTTAATATATTTGATTTGTAGAATCAGAAATGTTTATTCTGCTGTCACATATATCCATGTTCTGGCTTTTAGAAGCAAACAATCTAACACGGGAATCCTAATTAGTGAGAGCGTATTTTAGTGCGTTCTGTCGCATTTCCATAAATGATCGCCGTTATCGAACCCTGTTACAGACAGCTTACACTCACGGGAATCGGGGTCATCGATATATTTTCCGGTTTCGGAAATACATTGGTAACATGGTTGCTTATTTTGTGGTCAAATTTATTCGTGGTCCTTATGTTACATTGCTGAACACACTTAATACAGTACTTGGACTAGTTGAAATAATAGGAAGAATTAGAAATACACCACGTCACATTTAAACTGATATTCACTACCAGAAATAGCCGAAATAATATAATTCTTAAAGTCCTTCCAGAGATATAGTAAAAAACCACTCAACTGAGAGATCTCGCGAGTTGCTTGAAAGACGCGAGCCGAACATCTGCGGCAAAAATAGAATTATTTGATTTTGAACTCAAAATTCTTTATTTCGTAGCTCATTTCGAAAGGCCGATCTTTGACAGGGGAATATTAGGTTTGAATTTCATTACTCCATCGAAATTGCCTATCATCAAATGTGTACAGCACATTATTAAGCATGGAAATGTCCCCAAAATACTTTCGCGTTTGTCGAATCCCACGCGATGTTTGACGCGACTACGACGCTATGACCTTTGTTTGTCCTGTTTTTACGTTCTAATTCACGCATAACGCGGGATTGTGCAGTGAACGGAAAATGGTATATTTCAAAACATTAAATGTTTGTGATGGGTTATTGTTGCCATGCCAATAATTGAAGCCATGTTTTCCACTATAATGGGTGACGTTCATATTATCATAATATTGGCATTTATTTTTCTTGTAGACGGAAACGAAGAAAAAAAGATAGACACGATACGGAAAGTGGCGCGTCAGAAGACACCATAAATACGACACTAAACGACAGCAGTAGTTCAATTTCAACCCCGGAACAACAACACAATTCGTATCTCGCATTCAATGAACGAAGATTCTATGATGAACTGTACGCCGAACATGCGCAAAAGGTACCATGTAGCAATATAATTCATCTGATATGAATATCCTAATGATGTATGGCCATCAAAACTTTATTAATTTTACACGATAGTTAACTTTTGAAATATTTTGTTTTGTTATAGAAATTTGATGATTATCCTGACTATTCTGCGCCAAAATGGCACTGGACCGGTGAAGTATGAAGAACGTGGATGTAGAAATGTTATATGTGATTCAACTATAGATAACCATTGGTAGAAACGTAGACGCCACAATACAATATATTGCTGTGTCTCATCATATCAGGCTTTCTTTGGTCAGTTTATACATTACCCAGGGGAATCAACAGATACGACGAGGTAGATCGATGTAGGTCACCGATCAATACTACTAAGTGGTACTGAGAACAAACGCGAAACTAGGAGATGAATTATAAAGGCGTTAACTGAGAAAAGTTTTACAGACTACGATATACAATACTTACTGATAACATTTTGAGTGAAATTTTGCAATTGCTTGTGTGTTTTCGGTAATTCTCTTGGTACTTCGGACCTAATGAACAACATTTTCTATCACCTACAGGTCTTCATGAAAAACAAAAATACGAAAATAATAACACCTTTTTCTTAGTTAACTAAATTAACGTCTATTTGCACGAGGTATGTATGATAAATACCATAGACAATATCGTTTATATGCTTTATTCTTTGTATTTGAGCAATTAATATTGTAATTGTTTTTATCGCTAATTGTCACACAAAATGTAGATCCTCTCATTATGAGGGATATGCTTGTAACATCCGTCTTCGATTAGTAAATTATGCCCGAAATCCTTAATTTTGTAATTGCTCTCATAATTTTATAGTTTGCAATTAAGTTTACATGATGTATATCTTTTGATTTTGTTGCTAACATTTTGGTTATTGTCTTTGTTCATTTTTCTTACATTACTTAAAACAAATGTCTTGCAATTTATCTGTGATTACATTTTTAGTTTTGTTTGGTGTTACGTCATAACATTAGAGTGTTTCCGACCGCTGTATAATAAATGTTAGGAATGTAATTTGCCTCTTTTAACGTAGTTCAGTTTTATTTTAGAGCTACCCTGCTGGTTAGTACGTTGCCTTGGTGTATTCTTGCCCAGTATGGGAATACTTTACTGATTATTTATCATTATATTGGGTATCACCCAATTCACCTTGTGATGCGATATTCGCGCTTTTCTTGTGAACACCTAAAATTGTTTTTGTAGAATTCTCTTTCATATTCTATGTTGTCATTTAGAATTGATGTTATTGTAACTTACTGTTTATATATTAGTTTGTTGATATTATATGTACCTCATACTTCACTTCCATATAAATAAAGCTTTAAACATGATGTCAAATAAATAAAATAACGTTTTGATTTTGAGTTTTAGTATGAATATTCAACTGCTGATTAAATAATAGTTTTTTTAGGTTTCACAATAAGAGATTCAATTTAATAAGCGAATGATCTGGAGTTTGAATTACATTGCTGAATTGATTCTGGTTTGTCTTAGTGACATTTTATTGCTCAGTGAGAATTTGAGTATTAGTATAAATATTGAACTGCAGACTTATTAAATTATAGCTTATTTTAAACTTTCACAATTAGAGATTTTAATTAATAACATTTGAACGAGTCACTTTCATTGAAAGTAATTTATAAATATAGTAATTTGGTTTCAACTTGTAGTTTTGAACTGCTAACGTAAAACTGTGTTTTCAATGTTTTTATTCAAAATCATTATTTTAGTTTTTTAATACTGAAACTTAATTTCCAGATTTTACTTGTTTTGAACTTGTTATTTCTCAGTCTCATATTTTCTAGTTTATGTATTGCTGAATCTTCAAATGTTTTATCCCAGAATTGATCATCTGGTGAATTTAAAATATCTAATAGTATTCAAACTAATATTTGTTGAGTTTTATCGATTTATTTAACTAATTTCGAAAATTATTTATTAGAACTATTTTTGATATTGTTTACATAACGTTACATTTCTGTTGTTAATTGTTTTCCTAAATGTTTTTTTTTTAACTTTAAAGTATACACACATTGTCATTGTTTTATTACACATTGTCATTGGGTTGGCTTTCATAATTCCTCTTAATTTATTATCTTGTTTTTTAAGGTCAATGCATGTTTTGTCAAACCATGGCTTATGTTTATATTATGATATTATGGTCTTTATTTGTGACTCACCAACACTCACTAAAATATGCATTAACTTTTTTATATAACTGTATATATTTCCGTATTAAGCTGATTAACATTTCCACCACCAGTTTCCTCTTTTCTTCACAAAATAGTCCTCTTTTTAGTTTTCAATTTCCTTCAGAAGATTGAGACAAAAATATACATTTTTTTAGTAAAAACCGACTGAAAATTGACTCAAATATTGTCTGCTGGCTCCAAAATCGTGGTACAATTCCAGAAATATTGAAGAATATAAGAAAAAAGTGCAGGCAAATTTGGCGACATGGTCTAGTGGTGACAAGGTTATGGAATAAGTATAATTAAATATTTTTCACTATTCAAACCCTTTTTGAATAAGTCATCGGAATTACCACCACCACCACCACCACCACAAATGTATCATTAACGTGTCTAGTTTATATTTGCTACAACTATCATTACATATTTGCGATAACCCAAAAAATACAATGGCCTGATAGATATAAAATATTCCACATTTTAAACACAATTATATTATTTGTTATTTTTTCATTATTGGTAATGTAATCTACTACACTAGATTCAAGATCTACATTTACAATACGTGCATTCGTGCAGTTTGGCGATAGAGACCCAAATTCAACCTTGGTCGTTGGATGCCCAATCCAACCTCTTCCGACCGATTCAGAATGTAATATATCGCCCGGTCTTACAACACCGCTAGTTGTGATCTTTCCAAATCTAAGTACTAGAACAGAAACTAAATAAATTTATATCTATAATTTACATAATAACGTGTTTAACTAGATCAATCGAGTTGTTTTTTGTCGGATTTGTGCAAATGTCATTAACCATTACGTTTTGTGAACTATCAGTGACTAAAATGACCGGTGTATTAATATCTGACGACAACTTCTGAACGATTCGAACGATTACTAGTATATTTTTTTGCGCCCCCACGCGTCCAACTATTACAATTCGCACATCGCTTGGGGTATTTTATTCAAACCCATCTTTCTGTCCATTTTTTGCATTTTAATATCGATATATTGTTACCTAACTGTGTTACTTGCACTAATTCCAGTTAACCTGTTCGTCTAAATTGCATAAAGTCAAACTCGGTATCCCACCGAACTCGAGACCAAATTACCCGTTGAGGGCAGTTGACTTGTCGGGTCATAGTTCACTTCCAATGACCGAGCATGGCTGGTATTTGAGATGCTGAATTTTGCTGGTAATCAGTTTGTTTTTGGTTTATTGGAAGACTTAAATTTACCGATATCATGGTGAGTAATAACAAGATACGTTCCTTGAGTGTTATAAGGTAAACTACATGGCAATCAGTCGAGGAATGTGAACAAATTTTGCAAAATATCCGTTATCCATCGTATATGTACGTAAAACTTTTAAATCTCAGATGTAGTAGTGAAGCGACCACACGTGGGAGAGTGTTGATGACATAGTTTGTTATCATGTAGCGGTAACGATGTGGTTAATTGTGTTTTATTTTGCGTCGTTTACATATACTGCCTTTCACGTCGTATTTCCAGAGGTTCTTTGCATGGGGCCCCCTTGAGGTGGCATGCTTTAATGCTGACACAGTTCAGGGCCATAGAATGAAGGTTTGGCTCGAGTGACATCGGCTTTACTTGTTTCCATGATGAATCTGTATTCAAAATCGAATGACATAAATTACATCTTACACTCATATGATTTTGTTATACTAAAATTGATCGGGAATTATATAAATATTTTAAATTGTTTACATCCTTTTGATATGTTGTGTTTTTGAAAACATGTATGTATTTAAACATATGTTATTAATATGTTGGTGGGTGTACTGGCTAATCAGTAAAATGCTATAAATTTAAAAGCACTAGATAATCTTGATATTTTGCTAATTAATGAAAAAATGCAAATAAAACAAGTAGATAATCAGTAGTTTCTTTATTTTTTCATTGATCCTTAATCTGGTGGTCATTAATTAAAAATTGGTGAAAATACAAGGTTTTTTTTTAACCAGTCAGAAAACTATGTCGAAAGTGTCTTAGTTATGCTCCCATTCTTAACATATATGTACACAGTCATACACATCTTACCATTGTTGTGACAACACACATTGGATTAACTTTTAATATACAAGTAGTTGCATTATGTTTGAATTAAAATGCAGCTCTATATCGGGTTGCGATTTAATTGGAGTTTAATTAAATTAAATTACATTGCAATTCAATATAGAATTGCGTTTAATTTTAAGTTTAATTAAATAAAAATGCAACATCATACATCCTGTGACTTAACATAGCAATGTTTGCGAAGCATGGGATTAGTAAAGGGGGTAGGTATGGTACAATTTTATTAATATTATTATAAATTGAACCATACCTTCTCTCTTTACTAACCCTAAGCTACGCAAACTTGATTTAAATTTGATTAAATATTAATATAAATTATGAAAATAGTCAGGGTCATCACAATGTACAATGTAGGTCCTGTCTTCCCACACCCACACACAACAATCCCATTTATACAAAATAATAATAACACAGTCAAACCTCATGAAAGCATAAACATTATTACATATGTACTGCAGTTTATTTTGATTCGTCCCTGAAATCAAAATCGGTATTTCCATACCCCATATGCAAATGAGGCTTGAGAGCAAACAAAGTAGTCTTTTCAAGAGTACCGTTTTTCGAAACAGAGCAGAAATAAACAATATTTAGAAGTACAATATTTTCCCCAGTAGTAAAATTAGTGATTACTTATGGAGCCCCGTAACCATCAACATCAGGGTACCAGTAGGGTTTCTGCTGGCTACGTTGCCAAGTTACTTAATTCCAAATAAAGATTACGAATGCCAAACTCAACAAGGACTCATTAAATCCACAACCAGCAAGCAACATCACAAACGAAGTTGTAGCGTGCAGCTCCGCGACAACCGCTATCGACGAAAGTCATCCCATCTGTAGAGTACCGCAGTTGCACAGCATGTTTGTCAATGTACAATTCTGTGGAGGAAATTTTAACTTCAACATAAACTGTGTGTCACAGTTGTCCAGTTCAAGTTCTGGTTCTGGTTCTGTCGTAGCCCCAACTAAATGTCCACGATTTATTATTTATTTGGATAGTGACTCAGATTAGATGTCTGATTATTTCTTTTTCATACAGACAGTGACACGCGTTCTACATTGACACGCGTTGCTAGGGCGTAACACTATCTTGGAACATGTTAATGGAGTTCCCCGACCTAAATTTCTTTCTTTAATATGAAATAATCAAATATTGAACATATGTAATAGTAACAGAACCCCACACCCTCCCCGTGGCTTTCATTGCGTATGGAAATTATTTTCACTCGAGATGCAGTGCATCGCTTCGCTCGTGAAAGTACACCACATCAATCATGAAAATAACTTCCATACGCAACGAAACCATGAGGAGGGTGTGGGGTTCTGTCATATTCCAAAATTGCACTGATTGATGTAATGATAAACACAATGTATGTAGTCATGACAACAATCCTTTGTCCTTTACAACAGGGATTATTTGGAGTGCAGTTGGTGCTGAGTATGACTATGGCAAGCGTTCTTTCCAAGCTGTCTCCCCATTTCTCATTTGCTAGATGGCTCCTGTGTAGAGGGTATGTACATTTCAACTATTCATTAATCACCCAATAAATGCAGCAAATATTGGCCGTCAATCAAAGAACAGAAAAAAACCTGTGTTTTCTTTGGTGTTCCTAAAGTCAACACAAGATTGGCAGCTATTCGGTGCCTGTTGTTTATAGATGGTTTCAGCTCTACTATCCCAAACAGATTTATTACCGGAGTATCATTGACTCCATATCTGTATAGGGTGATACGGTGACGTGACCATATTTGCCATTGGATTCATGCTTCTGAACATCATCTAAATGCTCTTTTCTTTTTTCAGAACTTTAGTACGATACCTGCATCCATCAGATGAAGAACTTAGGAAACTGTCAGGAATAATACCTGCTAGTAATAATGTGAAAGGAAGGGGCAGGAGAGATCGGTATGTTGTCATAGAAACCGTTTGGTATGAGTTATAATGTACACTCACATACTTATACATGTAGGCATACATGTGATAAATACCACTGTCTTCAGGATTATAGTTGCATTTTTCAGGATTATGTCATGGGAACTATGTAAACATATTTATTGTACATCCTGTAAATTAGGGTAAATGACTAATATGTCTGATTGTCAGGCAAAATGCTTGTAGAAAAACAGTGATGCAAGGTTGGCACTATGTGATGGTTGCCATCTGGGGTGAAACTTGGCTTAATCCAACTTATGAACAAACTCCACCTTTTAACTAGGCAATTTTTTGTTCTTATCTGTCTCATGGGCAGGTATTATCTAGATATTGCCCTGTAGGGTGGGCACTATCTAAGATAATGCCTTGTGAGCAGGCAATATCAATAATATCAGGCCAAGCAAATACAAATAGTTTTGATGACAGTGTTCTCTTAAGGTAGCGAGAAGGTTTTGTGACGTTTTTAAATAAAACATTCTCTGTCTGTTGTCTCGTTCAGAACAGTAATTTAGGTTACATATATCAAAAGACTAAGTATAGAGGTGCAAGTTCGCACAAACTGGACAGACATTGTTTACATAATTATCACGTGACATCAAAAATGGCGAACCTTGTAAAAATGACTAAGTACGTGATTGCGAGAGCACACTGCGGAATTTCCTGGTGAAATTTAAGTTATGCATTGTCCGTAATCAAGTCCATTGAAATGCGTCTCCGATAATCAAAAGACCTATTATTCCGATTTCTATGCAGTTTGTTTTTTTGTCCCCAAATTATTTCATACTTGGCACCTTTACAGACTATTATTCTATGACAAAGCATTTTCTTTAAA